GAAGGCTGAGGCGGAAGGATCGCCGGAGCCCAGCAGGTCGAGGCTGCGGTGGCTGGGAGCAACCACTGCACTCCAGTCTGGGCGACAGAGTGAGACTCCAACTCACACACACACACACACACACAAAAGTAGAAAGTAGTTGGGCGTAGTGGCTCATGCCTTCAATCCCAGCACTTTGGGAGGCCAAGGCATGAGGATTTCCTGAGTCCAGGGGTTCGAGACTAGACTGGGCAACTTGGCGAGACTTCATCTCTACAATAAATCAAAAAATTAGCCGGGCATGGTGGCACACGCCTGTGGTTCCAGCTACTTGGAAGGCTGAGGTGGAAGGATCACTTGAGCCCAGCGGGTTGAGACTGCGGTGGCTGTGAGCATGCCGCTGTATTCCAGCCTGGGCGACAGAGTGAAACTCCAACTCAAAAAACATAAATAAATAAAATAAAGTAGAAAGAAGATGGGTGAATTTTATCTGCCGATTCCTCTTTCTGCATGGGGGATATAGATTAAAGACTATCTATGGAACCACTCAAATACTGTTGCTGGGTGGAGGACAGTGGCACAATCACAGCTACCACAGCCTCGACTTTCTGGGCTCTGGCAATCCTTCTGTCTCAGCCTCCTGGGTAGCTGAGACTACAGGCATGCACTACGATGCCCGGCTAATTTTTTGATTTATTGTAGAGACGACGTATCATCAAGTTCCGAGGCTGGCCTCAAACCCTGGGGCTCAGGCAATTCTCTTGCCTCCGCCTCCCAAAATGCTGGGATTGCAGCCCTGAGCCACCGTGCCCGGCCACTTTTTTTTTTTAAATAGATGGAGAATGTATCCAGAAGCTTTGATACATTTACAATGGAGTGTTAGATAACACTGAGAAGGAGCAGTCTATAATGACATCTAACAATATGGCTGAATCTTACACTATAGGGTGGAGCAAAAGAGGCCAGCCACAAAAGGAGCTCCTGTTCACGTCCATGAATGCAAAGCACAAACATCTCACAAGTCATCTGTGCTGTTGGAAGCCAGATCAGCAGTTTCCCAAGCAGGATAGGCAGTGGCTTTGAGGGCCCAGGGAGGATCTTTGTAGTAGTCCATGTCTTGATCTGGTGCTACTAGACGTGCACATTTCTGTATGTATGTTATTTTTCAAGAACATGTTTAAAAGTAACATGGCCGCATTTCTTGTCGGCGCCTTTAATGTTGGGACGTTTTCATACTGATGGCTCTACTGTTACCATACTGAAAGAAGTCCCTACAAGGCACGCTTTGGCAAATGCAAGCACAGAACAGTAGAAATTTGCTTTAACTAGCGTCTCAGTGGTTGACCTCAAGACAGATCCCAGTTTTCAGGCCTCCAAGTGGGGACCCCCTCTCTAAAAACTGCCGCAGTGCCAGGGTTCACCCACTGTCTCCACGGCAGCTGTAGTTTCTGTTACCCTTTCATAGTCCCTTTAGTTCTTCAAAATGAACTCACTTTTTTTTGAGTCAGAGTCTCACTCTGTTGCCCAGGGTTGGGGACAGTGGCACAATCATGGTTACCACAGCCTCAGCTTTCTGGGCTCTGGCAATTCTTCTGCCTCAACCTCCCAAGTAGCTGAGACTACAGGCATGCGCCGCTATGCCTGGCTAATTTTTTGATTTATTGTAGAGACATGGTCCATCAAGATGTCCAGGCTGGTCTCAAACCTCTGGGCTCAGGCAGTCCTTTCATCTCCACCTCCTAAAGTGCTGGGATTATAGGCATGAGCCACCATGCCTGGCTACTACTACTTTTTTTTTTAAATTAAAAAGGACATTTACACTAAGCCTACCTAGTGCCAGACATATACTATGTACTCAATAAATAATTTCTGACTACATACATTTACTGATAAAATAGTCAAAATAGAACATTACTATGTATTTTATATATTATAGATGATATATTATAGTACATATCTTTGCTAGTATGTATTTTATAAATTTTTCTCCACCTGACAAACTTACTTTTTGAAATTTTAAGAAACCTAATGTGTGCACTGTTCTTACAACTAGGGCATCGAATCAGTCCTTAATTGAAATATTATTTCCTTCATTTTAAAAATGAAGAATATATTTTTTCTAATCCTGAGGCTTCTTCTTTCTTATGTACAGTGCCACACAATATACCCTGTCTCAGTGGTTTAAAAACTATGGGTTTTTTTGTTTTTGTTTTTGAGCCATGGAATTCTATATTCAAAGGAAGATGACTGCAGAATCCTAATATATAAAATGTAAGAAAAAAATTTTTAAGTATATTTCAAAGTGTATTTCTGCAGTAGGCTAAGGATGGGGAAATCACAAGGTCATTCACCTGCCTCTTCTCCTGACAAGCTGGTGGTTCGATTCCAAAAAACTCCAGGTTTGGTCTACATCAACAATTCTCCAAGTATATTCAGAGACCCTTTCAGGGGTGTCTACGAGGTCAAAACTACTTTTGTCATGATACTAAGATGCCATTTTTGTTGTTGTTGTTGTTGTTGTTGTTGAGACAGGGCCTCACTTTGTTACCCAGGTTGGAGTGCAGTGACTGATTTTGGCTTGCCACAGCCTTGATCTCCTGGGCTCGAGATCCTTCTGCCTCAGCCTCCCAAATAGCTTGGACTACAGGCGTGCTCTACCACACTCAGCTAATTTTTTGATTTTTTTTAGAGATGAGGTCTTATTATATTACTCAGGCTGGTCTGAAACTCCTGGGTCCAAGCAATTCTTCTGTGTTGGCTTCCCAAAGTGTTGGGATTACAGGTGTGAACCACCGCACCTGGCTGTTATTTGCTTTTTAAACTCTGATTCTCTCCAGTACATGGTAGAGTTTTCCAGAGGCTGCATGAAGTGTAATGCTCAGATCACTAAGAAAATGCAGGCTTGTATATTCTTGTGTCTTAAGATTTTCTCAGTTTTAATTTCTCCTGTGGTATATGTCAACAGATATGATGTCCACGAGTTAAATCTCTGTCATCAATAATTTTGTAAAGGTAACCAGGCATGGTGGCTCAGCACCTTGGGAGGCAGAGGTAAGAGGATTGCCTGAGCCTACAGTTTCGAGACCAGCCTGGGCAACATAGCAAGACCTCATCTCAAAAAAAAAAAAAGAAAGAAAGGAAGAAAGAAAGAAAAAAAGAAAGAAAGAAAGAAAGAAAGAAAATACCCAGCACACGAGAAGGTATTCAATAAGACTCACCTCCCCCTTTTATTAACCTTGGAACCATAGAATGCAGAGCTAGTAACAGAAGCCAAGAAACAAGACGATGTTTAGAAGAACATTACCTGCTGGGATGATGAAGACACTAAAATCATTTCATTTCAAAAAGAGAAGTTGTGCTTGTTAGTTTTGTGGGGTAATGGCAGGGGTTGGGCAGAGGAACCTGAAGGTTATGTCTCCCAGAGTAGAATTGGGATTTAAGATGGAGACTTTTGGGAAGTGGGCTCCATTTTTACATAACCAGGAGTAACAATGCCCTCAGAACTGAAAGACTTCAAGAACAATCTTTTAAAAAATTTTTAAATATGTGGGGAACGATTCAGGGTTAGGTATACAAATGTTCATTATACAGGTGCCCGAAAACAATCTTAAGCAGTTTGGCAGAGAATGCTGCACAGCTAGAGATGTCAGAATATTTATATTCTGATATGGATTTGATATTAAAACCCACTCAGTCCTGAAGGTCAAGGTCAATGAATGTTCATGTGTAGTTTCATAATTCAGTCTCAAATAAAGTTGAAAAGGAAGAAGAAGGAAGAGGAGAAGTGGAATAAGAAGACACTGGCCAGGCTTGGTGCCTCAGCCTGTAATCCCACTTTGGGAGGCCAAGGTGAGTGGATTACCTGAGCCTGTGGGTTCGAGACCAGCCTGGGCAATTTGGTGAGACCTCATTTCTACAATAAATAAAAATTAGCCGGGTGTGGTAGTGCACATCTGTAGTTCCGGCTACTTGGAAGGCTGAGGCGGAAGGATTGACAGAGCCCCGCAGGTTGACGTTGGAGTGGCCGTGAGTGTGCCACTGCACTCCAGCCTGGGTGCTAGAGTGAGACTCCAACTCAAAAAAAAAAAAAAAAAAGATACTAGAGGAGAGGGTGTTTTTA